CCGTCAACACCTTCCTGAACTCTTCCGGTTAATGGTGTTCTCAAAGTCCTCCTGATGGATTTTTCTATTAAATTTATGGTTTGTCCAAGTTAGAAGCGAACATGATATCGCCAGAACGGTCGCACGGTTCATACTTACTGCTACGCTATTGGAGGAGGCCTTGGGAATAAAATGAGAGTTCATTTATGAGGGGATTCTACTATCTGACAGCTCTCAGACCTATTTTATATATATTCAAAAAAACAAATATTTTAAAAACAATTGTTCATTTCGATAGGAATATGCTTCTTTATATGATCTGCTTCTTCATTCATGCATCTCCTTTCCGCCTATATCTTGTGTAGACACGCCTGAAGTAAACGACGTTATCTATCTACCAGTAAACATCACAAACGTCTCTTGCAAATTTTCAGCCATTTTTTTTTTTTTTGAAGATGTGTAAAATTCAATTTAAATCGATTGTTCTGATCAAAAAAATTAATTGCGGCCTCTACATATTGATCATCAAGAGAACTCAAAAAACTGGTTTTAAAAAAAGTTTTTAGATAAGAGTTCAGTGTCAAATGGTCAAAAACCCGCTGCAAATTACTTAGTCTATAACCTCTTGTCACCTTCTTGCAACTGCTTTAAGTTGGGTTTCTCAAACTGAGAGCAACACAAATAGAACTGCTTGCCCAAAAAGTCTTCTGCTGGAAAAATTATTCTTGTATTTTATGTTTAAAAATAAAGTTATTGCCTGATGCACCTCTGCGTATACGTAACATATACCACATGGCAAACAGCACATTGCTACTCATACCAGCTGTAAATTTATTTACCTAAATACATACACTTTTTTCCGCCTATTAACAAGAAAATATGTTCTACTTCCTCATACGAGTATAAATTTAAAGTCACTTGACTTTCATCAATTTCCTAAAACCACTTAAATTTCGCAACATTGCCAAGTGCATAAGTATGTACTCTGCCTTCAATGAAAATCAAGGTCATGCCGACGCTGCAATAGTGGCGAAAATTTCCTAAATGTCTTTGTCCGCATAAATTTTGGCGCAAACTTAATTGTATGTGTGTACAACTTGCATTTTCTGTAAAAACAAAATTTAAAAAAGTAAAACAGGTTAGACATATTAACAAAAAGTTACGAAAAGTTGGCACGCAGCCCACAGAATAGTAACACATTAAACGACACGTAAGTGTGCTTTGGATGCGAAGCCATTAAAACCATGTTATTGGTAGCTCGTATGCTTGAACGGATGACTGATTTTGAAGAAATACCAAAAATATTGCAAATAAGAAAATAAAATAAAATAAAATAATATAAAATAAAATAATATAAAATAAAATAATATAAAATAAAATAATATAAAATAAAATAATATAAAATAAAATAAAATAAAATAAAATAAAATAAAATAAAATAAAATAAAATAAAATAAAATAAAATAAAATAAAATAACCATAAAAGAAAATAAAATAAAATAACCATAAAAGAAAATTAAAAATTAAATAATAACATTAAAGTAAATAAAAAATGAACCAAAACCAAAAAAAAGTAAATAAAATAAAACAAAATAAAATAAAATATGTTGAGAAATACGTATATATAAATAAAGTAAAATAAATTTAATATTAGAACTTTTGAAATGAACTTTCGTAGAATTCGTTTACCTTAACTGCATGCGCGTTCCTATGAAATGTATAGCGGAGCAAGCATAACAAAGTTATTTGTGGCGTTAATGTATTTCATGAGAACAATGCGCGTATATATGTATATTTTTATAAATTCAGTTGACCTTAGCAACTGCTGCTTATTTGTTCTCCCTTACATTGGCACACCGAAGCAAAAGAAATGTTGAAAATGCAATTAGTTTAATTGGACTTTTTTTGTAAAAAGTTTCAAAGGTTATATGTATATATTTCTAGCATATGAATGTATAGTCTCGCAACCTGAATTGCCGTAAACTGCTTAGAAAAGTTGTATGAGTAAATTTTATTTTTATAAGGAAGCCAATAAAGTAAAGGGTAAGTAAGTTTGTTAGTTAGTTTGCACTGCGATGGAAATATTTCCCAAAAAGTTTGCTCATTAAAATGTTATTGGCTTGTTATTATAGATGAATGTGTGTAGGTGTGTAAATGCTTGCATGAGCAATTAGTATAATTTTATTATTTGCTGTTTTCTTTCGTTTATTTAACAAAAATGATGAAAGCAAAGAAGTGCAATTGTTTTAAAACTATTTTAACACACATACATATATGTATGTATATGTAACTTCGAATTTCGAATTTTATGCCGATTATAAGTCCTTACACTTTATTTATGATCTTGTGACTATATTATAGTTTTTTCAGATTTAACGTAAAACAATAAAATCTTCTTTCGCCAATGTTACTCATACGCCATGGCAATCGATTGAAATTATGCATACAAATTAATGATAAGGATATGAAGTGAAGTTTATGTTTTAATTAATTTAATTAATCATAATATATTGAATTGGTGTTTTCTATGAAAACCTCTTCTCAAATTCTGGATTTTTGTCAGCACTAGCGTAAATTGGTGTTTTATTATTTTTTATAATTAAATATATTTTTATCTGTCATCTCATTAAGAAGACTTCTTGAAATAACTTGACATCAAAATTGTATACTTACATATTTATAAATGTACGCATTTCTTTCATCATCAAGCGCATTTATATCCGACACTTGATAAAACTTACACGATCGCTGCTATGTACATGCATAATTTTATACCATCGCAAATTATATTTCCCTTGCAAGCATCCACATTTGAGAATGTGCTTGTAGATACGCTTTTTAGAGAAACTTATAATGCCACATAACACACTTGCCACTATTTTATTGCTCTCTTCAGCACTTTGTAATCGAGCACGAACATTACTCACTCCTCACTGCACGCACACATGATTTGAAAAAAAAAAAAAAAATAATAAATAAATAATAATAATGATACGCAGCATAGCAAGTGTTTATGTGTATGTCCCATCTACTTAGGTTTTAAAGCGTACATATGTACATTGGATATATGTGTATTATATTATATTTTAGTTGTATCTCAGCACAAATAAGCACTCTTAGCTTGGCATCTAATGTGGCAGGTGTTGGTTGCTTGTTGCATGGTATAAACGCTTAACTCCTTGACTTTTGCATGCTTTGCCACCTATTTTCACGCTACCTTTACTTTGTAAACTTGTTGGCGTGAACTTCTTATCGTTGTTGCTGTTGCTTTTCCCACTACACTTTGTTACCATCACATACTTCATACGTATGGCAACGCATAGTTATTTGTGGAAGTATGTGCTGGTTTGTAAGTGTAATATGTACATGTGTGCATGTGTGTATGTGGCACGTGTGAATGAACATAAACGCATTTAACTGCACTTTATTGTTCTCATACATATATGCGAGGGGATTAACAAAGATTCGCCAAGTTAACCAGAAAAAAACATAAAAAAAAATATTAATTTTGTATTTATTCGCAATCTTTGCCCTTTTTTTTTATCTCCTCTGCATAATCGACTTTGATTTCAATGTATTTCTATAGCCTGTTTTCCAATAAATTTTTGAAAACTTTTGGTAAGCGCTGTTGGGTGTACCATTTTACAGTCACCGTCCGACCTTTTTTCAGTGGAATAGCAGCTACGAGTTTAGATTGGGTCAAGTAAACTGACATCATTACTTTTGCTGCTGGTTTTTGTGGCATAGATTTTACGGGTGGGCTTGCTCGATTGCCCATGGCCGAATTTGTTCAGGAAAAATTGAATAAAATGCACTCAGGGCTTGTTGGTCTTTGGGCCATGGCACTCAAGTCTTTAAAAACCAAGCGATCGTTCCATATGCAATTTGGCATTCACCGAATATTTGTCTTGGCTGTAAATTACGCCGAAACCTGTAGAGACTCACGTGGCGAATTTTTGTTTACGTTGGTGGTTGAGTTTTGTCTGACCTATTCTGAGTTATCTTACGCTTTCTCCTCTCTATTTTAGCCAATTGTTCTAAAATTTGAAAGGAAGTTTAATAAAGTAATTGGAAAGGATTTTTGGATTTAACAAAAACAAATCGAAAGTCACCAAATTACCGAACTTTTGGTAAGCACCTCGTTTAGTTGTGTACATACATTTGTGGACATGTATGTGTGTATGTCTGTTGTATAAGCTTCCAAACAGGGATTTTCTTTTTGTCGAGTACTTAGTACGTGCTTAGCTTATGTTACATACATTCGCCTATATAAGTGCACACTGTGCACTACTCATATGCACATTACTATTTTACCTGTGGCGTTTTCATGTTTTTGCAAAACCACCTGCATTTCTTCGGTGTCAATGCTTACCTGTGTTAATAAGTACGGACGAGTTTGATTTCATTAAAATTTTTAGCTTAAACCCTATGCGGGTGGCTACTAATCTTTTTTAATTGATAGATTTTCATTAAAATATAAAGAATGAATTTCAATATATTAAATTTTTTATTTTTTATTTCGTCTTATGTCATTTTATTTAATTTAATTTTTTCACAGATTGTTTTGATGTTTGATTTTTCATCTTATTATATATCTGTTTTATCTAACTTTATTTAAATTAAGTTTAATTTGTTATATATTAATAAATATATTTTTATATTTTACTTAATTTAATATTTGATTTGGTGATATTATTTTTATTTATTTATCTAATCTTAATTTAATTTGATTTAATATATTTTATTTATTTTGTTGTGTTTGGTTTAATTATTTTATATTAATTAATTTTTATTTAATTTATATAATTTATTTTATTTTTATTTATTTTATTTATTTTTATTTATTTTTATTTATTTAATTTAATTTAATTTATTTTAATTTAATTTTTTTTTTTTTTTTATTTCAGTTTAATTTACATTGGACGATTGTTCATTGCATTAAGTTAAATTTATTACATATACGAGCATATATTAAATATTTAATATAATAAAATAATTATTTCATTATACTTTATTTTCAGAACTTTTAAAGGGAATAATAAAATTCAACAAATACATGAAGTTAGAAATACAGAAACGACTTAAGGCTATTTTGCTGTCTTTATATATCTTTGGAAACATTATCAACAACTTCGAATCTTGCATTCTTCGTGAATAAATTGGCTTTTGCAATTTTTCGCACTGCGATCACTAGATTTCCGCGTGGTAACTACGAGAACGCGTAAAGCTGAACGTTTTCTAAATCGCTCTTCAGTTTAAAGGTAAGTCAAAGTATATTAGAATGCACTCTGATTGAGAGCAGTTTAGATGAACCTGCGTTATTTATTATCAACTCACATATTTAGTAGTTTCGCTCTTGAACGAATGGAGATATTAAATCAGCCAAGTAGACTTTTTCATATACGGGCAGTGGAGCATTTATTCTATCGTTTTCGATTAGGGAATCGGCTCCGCTGTCTAATTATGTTTCATTCTGTGAAAAGTTTTTCCTCTTTAAATGCATTATCTTCTGTAACTCAGTCGTTGGGTCCTACCTGAGTATGCTCCGTTCTTGAATCCAGTACTTTGGTCGGGCAGCTTGCCAAGCGTTTCATACTTACGCATTTCAGTCTCTTTTTTTTTCGTCTGCAAATACGTTTTGTTTCCCTTTTCTCCATATCCCGCACGTGTTGTGGTCTATCGAAAGATTGCGAGGTAGGCACTTTACTTTCTGCCTTTGCCGAAAACCAATTAATTCCGTAAGGGTAGTACGTAGGGAGTAAAGAGATGTCGTTCCACAGTTGCCTTTTATCGACTTGAGTGCTCTTAGAGAGATGGAGCGCAAGTCGAATAAAAGATCATTCAGCAGTCTGTTATGCTTGCAGCTTTTTGACTTCGACTCATACTTGTATTTGTTGACGAGTGAGTCTTGTTGCACAGAGGCGGGTGCGTATCCATGCTGCAACAAGAAAGCGATCCGAGTCGATTTTGTATCCTCGTAGTGTACGCTCAGCATGAATACTGGAGACATTTCGCACTTCTATTACGACATGATCGTTTTGTTTTGAGTGGAATCTCTCAGGCGAGGTGTTGTTTTCTTTGGAGCTGATTTCTAAATTGCAGGTCTTAAGCTCAGCGCACAAAATCGCGAAGCGAGCCGCTTTTTCAGTACCGACAACTGACAAATAAACTCATTTGTACGTACATTACCACACACCAAACTATTTGTGAGATCTTCAGAGCACTTCTACCTGCTGGGTTCGAAGTTGCATTAAATTAGTGTCCTTTTGTGTGCAACATGTTGTAAATGCATTTCGTTTAACAAGCCATAGGAACTTTGACTCAAAATACAAATACACAGTTGGGCACATATAAACACATTTGTGTGTATGTATGATAAAATTGTTTGTTTGTAACATTTAATTGATTTTATTTGTTAAAATTTTAAAAAACAAAAACAGCAAAACAGCCGTCGAGGTCGAGACTGCAAGCACCAGAGTGCGAGCATGTGTTACAATAAAAGTACCATTATCAAAGGAATATTACAACATTACAGTTACATTTTGTTTTAAAGTTGTACGCCGGGATATACATATATATATATACATATGAATATTCACATATTTGTATACATGGAAGCACAAGTGTGGCAAAATTTCAATGAAAATGTCAAAGTGATAAATAAGCGAATAGCAAAACACAAACAACAGTTGTTAAAGTACCAGAACAATTAAATATATTTTTAATTTTTATTTTCCCTTTTACCTTGAGTATCGTTTGACGTGTGCAGTGTTGCGTGACTACTTTGAATGTTAAGTACTGATATAAGTATTTTCAAATTTACAAAAAAAAAAAAAATATATATATTCTTTGTACTTTCCACTTAATTCTTCTATGTTTTTAATTTAGTTATTTGTAATAATAAGGTATTAGACTTTAAAATAAATATTTTCCTATTAAAATTATTTGTTATTATTTTTATTTCTTTTATTTAGTTTTTTCAAATGAAAAATTAAATATTTTTTAATTTAAAATAAAGGAAAGGAAGAAAAGTGAAGTTATTTATATTAAAATTCATTTAATTTAATATGATATAAATTAATATTTTTTATTTCAAATCTTTTTATTTTATTTTTAATATAACTTAATTTTATTCTATTTTATCTATTTAAAATTTTGTTCATTTCCAATTTTGATTTATTTAGTATAATTTAATATTTAAATAATCTCAAGTAAATTGAAATTAAATAAAAAATAATAATAATTAACTTCTACTAATTATTTTAATTTACATTTATTAATTTAATTTATATTTATTAATTTATTTTTTTACTTGATTTCCAATATAATTAAATTTAATTTAATTTATTTAATATTTCTTCATTTTTGATTTTGAATTATTAAATGTAATTCGATGTTTTTAATATTAAGTTAATTTTTTTATTCAGCTTATTTATGCAAGTTTGTTTAACTTATTTATTAACGTTATTTGAATTTGTTTTATTTGATTGTTTTTATTAAATTCTAAGTAATTTCTGTTATTTTATTTATTTATTCATTTTTATTGTTTTTTAAATTTAATTAAAATTAATTAAGTGTAATTTAATTTAGTTATTTTTTTTTTATTTGGTTTAAATTATTTAATTTTCGTGTTGTTTTATTTAGTTTGCGTTTATTTTTTATATTAATTTATTTAATATAATATGAATTAAAATTTTGGATTTCAATTAATATTATTCTGTTAAAATTTTTAATCATTGTGGATTTAGTTAACATTTTATGTTATATAGCTTAGCATAGTTTAATTCGATTTTTTATTTCATCCTTTTTAATATGTGCTTACATAATTTTATCGAAAGCTTATTTAATTTAATTTTTGGATTTATTTTTTTTTAATTTCATTTATTTCATTTTTTCATTTTTATGTCTTATTTCGTATGCTTTTTTATTTAACTTTAGTTTTAACTTTTATTTTATAATCTTTTTACATTAGTTTATTATTTTGTTTTAATCAATTATGATATTTTGATTAATTTTAATTTAGTTTATTTAATTGAATTTTTTTGTTTTATTTCATTTCATTTTCTTTCTTTCCATTAAGTTCTTAAATTAAATATTTTATTAAATTTTTTACCTTTTTATTTCATTTTGTCTTATTTTATTAATTTTTTTTTATTTTATTTTATTTTAATTTATTTTATTTCATTTTATTTTATTTTATTTTATTTTGTATTGTTTTATTTATTTTATTTTATTTTATTTTATTTTATTTTATTTTATTTTATTTTATATTACTTTTATTCATTTTATTAAAATTTTATTCACTTTACCCACGTAAACAATTTCTCCCCACGACACTCAACTGCTCACAAAATATCACCAAACTTTCCTTGTATGCTGCCGAAAAACAATTAAAATTGTATGTAGAAGTGTACACACGTATGTAGGTGTGTGCATGTATAAATTGTTGGCTATTATTGTGGTGTGTGTTGTCATGATTGCTAAAGTGTTTTCACATTTAATACGATTCGTTTATTTTTCATTACGTAACATGCGATCTTTTTTGAATTTTGTTGTTGTTTGATTCTTGAGTCATTGTTATGTTTTGCTTGTGTCACAGCGAAAATCAAACCAGTAAACTACCAATGATCAGCAGAAATAACACCACGAACAATGGGAATAGCGTAATTGGATATACGAAACTAGCTGTAGGGAATTTTGTGAAAATTTTTAACGTTTTTGTATACAAACTCTTGTGCTTTAGCTAATCGAGATTGTTTTAGGAAAAGGAGAAAATTCTAAATAGATGAATATCATGACAAAACATTTGTATTTGGCTTTTTAAATGGTTTTAGGTGTTTTTTTGTCGGGAAAGTCCTCTTAATATTTTAATATCCGAATTATAAAATTTCAAACAAGGCCAGTTTTCTTGTGGCTGTGTAAATTGTCGTTGAGCAAAGCCAAAATCTCTGTTAGGATCGGAGAGGACCTCTTTGTTTACTCTGCAGGGTGTAAGGAAGTGTAGCGAATCGGTTTGGTAGTGAAGGAGGGCAAGAAAAATTATCTCCTGCCAAAGAAATCATCAACACATGAGCGACTCGGCTCCGACGTCATTGCTGAGTCATAACTGCATAGTTGGCGATGATAGACCGACCGTTAACAATGGCAGCCTTGAAATCTAGTGCCGAACCACTCTTACTACCTGTTGCTATTTCGGACTGGGTAGGCATTTGAAAATTAAGGATCTTTTTCGACGAATCAAAACTAAACTCTACAACTCACGTATCTTTCCTGTCCTAGTATCTTTTCCAAATGTGAAGACGCTGTCAACATTCCAAGGAGGCGGCCGTGGGGTTCCTCGAGGAAAAAGTTATGGGAACGATTTATAGTCCAGTGCAAAACCGATGGAACGTAAGCTCTACATTGGTATGGATCAACAAGTGAAGAGACAGCGAAGAGAAAAACCGAATAGCGTGCCATGTCCAAGCCAATGGAGAAGAAGAAGAAGAATAATAATAAGTCTCTAACTTTTCCATATTACTATACGGATCATGAGCTCAAACACTAACGACTTCTGATGATTTGGCTTCAGATTGGTGTTAAATTTATGGGCGTTCGCTTATTAGCGATGACAAATACCGCAGACGTCGAAAAGAGAAGCTGCAACGGATATACGCCGACCTTAGATATGGCGTCCGTATGTGGAACAACACACCACATTTGAAAGTTTTCGACACAGTACTCGTTGGAGGCAGCAGAGGAAGGTAAAAACCTACACTTCGTTGGAAAGATCTGGAGAATAAGAGTTCAGCTTCAATTGGCGCCGATCTGCGAGGAAAAGTAACGTCTGACGACGAGTTATTGTTGCTTCAGCATCGTGCTTAGTTCCTATTTCTGACCGAAAAATTAATTTAATAATATAATTTATATATTTTCATCGAAAAAATTCTCAGGCCCGCCACATCCTTTGCGGAGTCGTTCACCACAGTGTAGTCGGTTTCTTCCCTGTTTGCCTGCCCCTTCGCAGTACATAGTAAGATAGACTTGTTACGCAACATGTGTATCTTTTGCTCAACCAACAGCTTGTCGGAACTGTATTTAACAAAAAGAAATTTCAACAACAACGGTTGCCAAAATGCTCACATAACTATGTAATGTAGTGTATATGCTACATACAATTTGCCACAAGTTCTTTTCGGTTTCGTTATTTATGAATATTTGCACATGTAGATATGTAGGCCAAGGGTCTTAAAACATACAAGATGGGAGATAGAGAAAAATA